TACTGCGCTTTCGAGGGTTTTATTGCACGTTTCAAACTTTTAATTACACTTTGTCCAACGTTTCGATGTTTGTATATAAAATCCAGTTATTAGATTATAGGTTTGTCCACTGATCCTTTGTATTTCAGCTACAAATTAACCCTTTTAAACTTCAAGTTAAATTTTTTTAATTCAAAATTTACTCTTTCTTTAAAACATTGAAAAACTGTATATATGATAAATTTTTTATTATAAATTATTGGGCTCTTAAAAGACCATATGAAAATTAAAAAATTAAACATGATATAAAGTTAAATATAGCTGTTTACCGTCAAATTAACCATTTTTAACTTCAAATCTATTCTTTCTTTATCGCATTAAAAAAGTGTATATATGACGTTTTTTGACATAAAATAATTAAGCTCTCTCACCAAATCAAAATTATTTACAATTAAAATTAAAAATTATATAAAATTAAATTTAAAAAATAATATTTGTTAATTGGAGATTTTTTTATATAAAATTATCGTAATTTAATTGATGAACTGTGGGGTACTCAAATTCCACCATCACAGCCCGGTCACACTACACGTTAATAAATACTTTTATTCTCACTATACTCAACACCTACATGCACTACCTAGATCCAATAAGTATCCCTCCAAACATCGGAAACTGTACCCGAGATATGGCAGCCGTTTACTAAGTAGGACACATCAAGCAAATTTTATGCACATGCTGTTGTCATACGCGGGCTTTGTCCCAAAAGTATGTGCCCGTGTCTCAAGCTCACAAGGACTAATCTTAATCGGGTCCAATTAACCCTTTTTAATTAACCTTTGTTAATTTCAAATTGACTTTTTCAATTTCAAATTAACACTACGTTTTTAATTTGAAATTAAACCTTTTTAATTTGAAATTAACCCACTCTAATTTCAAGTTAACCTTTTTTAATTTCAAATTAACACTTTTTATTTTTTTAATTTGAAATGAACCCTTTTTAATTTCAAGTTAACTCTTTCTAATTTCAAATTAACACACAAAATAACTTTTTTAAATTTGAAATAAACCCTTTTTAATTTCAAATTTACTTTTTTTAATATCAAATTAACACCGTTTTTAATTTGAAATGAACCCTTTTTAATTTCAAGTTCTCTTTTTAATTTCAAATTAACACAAAATAAAATTTTTAAATTTGAAATGAACCCTTTTTAATTTCAAATTAACCTTTTTTAAATTTCAAATTGACTTTTTCAATTTCAAATTAAACACTACGTATTTAATTTGAAATTAAACCTTTTTAATTTGAAATTAACTCATTCTAATTTCAATTTAACCTTTTTTAATTTCAAATTAACACTTTTTATATTTTCAATTTGAAATGAACCCTTTTTAATTTCGTTAACTCTTTCTAATTTCAAATTAACACACAAAATAACTTCTTTAAATTTGAAATAAACCCTTCTTAATTTCAAATTAACCTTTTTTTAATATCAAATTAACACCGTTTTTAATTTGAAATAAACCCTTTTTAATTTCAAATTAACCTTTTTTTAATATCAAATTAACACCGTTTTTAATTTGAAATAAACCCTTTTTAATTTCAAGTTAAGCCTTTTAAATTTGAAATAAACCCTTTTTAATTTCAAATTAACCTTTTTTTAATATCAAATTAACATCGTTTTTAATTTGAAATAAACCCTTTTTAATTTCAAGTTAACTCTGTTTAATTTCAAATAACACACAAAATAACTTTTCTAAATTTGAAATGAACCATTTTTAATTTCAAATTAACCTTTTTTTAATTTCAAATTAACACCGTTTTAAATTTGAAATTAACCCTTTTTAATTTCAAGTTAAGCCTTTTAAATTTCATATTCACGTTTTTAATTTGAAATCAACCCTTTTTAATTTCAAATTAACACTTTTTACTTTTTTAATTTGAAATTAGCCCTTTTTAATTTCAAGTTGGACGATTCGATAACATTCCACCCTCCAAAGAATCCATTCCTTAACGTCACCAACCAAACAATCCACAAAGACATCCCATTCGTGTCGGACCCGATTCGAACACGATTCCACAAGTTCTACACCAACCCACTCTTCAACGTCCCACCCTAACAATCTTCCACGCCGCCTAAGAAGACAATGTCCTCGTGACCTCCTGACGTAACCCTAAACCAATCCTTCTAAATGCTTAGAGTTCCAGCAACGGCCGGTTCCTCTCTTTATGTTTAGTGTTACAAAAATTATTTATCCCAATTGGACGTTGGACCAGTCCAGAGATCTTTTGCTCTCATACTTTAGGCTACGGAATAACACAGTACGCGAGGTTTGGGAAAGAATCTGTTTTGTTTACTGGGAAAACAAAACAATCCCCAAGCTTCAAAACATTTCGTGTTGCTTAATCACTACAGAAATTACAACGAATCTTGATATTGTCGTATTACAATGGATTGTTTTCAATGTGCACATTTTTACTTTCAGAGTCGAAGCTAATTGCGTGAATTTTTCCCTTGACCCGTAGATTGGGCAGATAAAATTGATAGCGGTGAGACTTTTGGGACCGCCAGCTCTCAGGCATTAGTTCAATCCTTTGATACTGAAATAATACCTTAGTCGAATGAACAGAAGTTAACATTTGGCCTTTGGAAGATTCGAGCGTCATCTATCAATTCAAACGTCCGATATGGCCGATTTTCTTTACCCTTTGCTTTTCATTTTCAGCATAGTCAAGCAATTAACCATTTGGCTTGTTTCATAAACCAATTTGTTGAATTCAATAATATAATATTACGGATAATAAATTCGCTTACAGAACAAAAAAAATTGCAGTCGCATAGAACTAAGACGTCAAAAAATTTGACGATTTAGTGCTATTATCTTTTGGATTTGATTCATAATAATTTGAAGTACATTTAGCCAGATGTTAAATGGTTAATTGTCAGTGGATTTTATCCAATCTCTCCGATCAATCTAGGTTTCATGTTGTGGTTTCTTGTCTTTGTATGAATGGCGACTGGCTTTCGTTCCTTGCCTTCGATCTCTTGGGTAGTCGGCAGGTGGTCTTCAAAAAAAAAGGGTGAATAAGGTAATTACAGGTTGAAATAAAAGTAGAATGACCATCATTCACCACAGTTTTTATTTACATAAAAAAGTCGAATATGGTCAATTATTGTAGATCCGTTAAGGCATTATATTACAATTAAAAACGAACATTTTCGAATTTTCATCGAAATTATTTCATCAGCCGTGCAATTGAATTGATCAATCTCTAATCCGATGAAAATATAGTTAGAAAAAATAGAATCTAATAAAAATTTAACCTGTTATGCTTACAAATAAAAGACAGATAGACTTGAAATTTTTAATTTGTTTAATTGAAAATTTCATAGTAGGAATGAAATTTTCATAAAAAATATGGCTGTCAGTTAAAATTATTTTTTCAAACTATCAGTTATAAGTATTAGTTTTTATTATATTTTGTCATGTAGTAGGGTTGAAATGATAATAATGTTTGAAAAAATCTTTTTTTTTTTGCAAATTAGTTTGAAGATTTTGAAAAAGATCTATTAGGTTTCGTCGTCCGATTGACCAACTTTGGTTGAGATAAAAAAGTCAGTGTCACGAGTGGGATTTGAACCCACGATGCCATTTTTTAAATGTCGTGTAATCTATTTGATTCTCGGCGACAAATGAAATGGCCACGGAGAGCTTTAGTGAAGTATACTTCATTTTGCTTATTATATCTATTAAGTTTCATGGTCCGATTGACCAAATAAATTATTTTCAATTAATTTGAAAAAGGACACGAAAGGAGGGAAAATTCAAAAGGTGGGGTTGAGATGGAGAGTTGGTGTCCGAGTGGATCGAAGTCACGATAGCTCAAGTGGTAGAGCAGCGGCGTATTTAGCCGAAGGTCGTGGGTTCGAATCCCACTCGTGACACTGACTTTTTTATCTCAACCGAAGCCTTAATTAATTGAAAAGATTTTGCAAAAGGTTTAATTGTATAACTAGTTTTTACATGAGCAATCTTTTAAATTTACTTTAAAATTTAATATAATTAAAAATGTACTTGTGTGGTTATTTGATATTAATTATTAATATCCTAGATAAATCTTCCTGGGATGTGGATTTTCACAATTAAAACAATTTTATTTGTATTTTTGTTTTTAATACATAACTTGAAATAAAATAGTAGTAAAATCTTCAAAATTTTCACACAAAAAAGTTCAAAACAGTGCAATCCACACCTCAAAAAGTGGAATCACAAATCAACTTGGTAAAACCACCAAATGTTTAAAAAAAGTTTGATAAAAAACTCGAAAGTGCAAAAAACTATAATTAAAACCTCGAAACGTTGACAAAGGTGTAATCAAAACCTCGAAAGTACAAAAAAAAGTAACAAAAAACTCGAAAGTGTTAAAAGGTATAATTAAAACCTCAAAACGTTGATAAGAAGTAATCAAAACCTCGAAAGTACAAAAAAAGTGTAATTAAAAACTCGAAAGTGCAAAAAAAGTGTAACAAAAAAAACTCGAAAGTGCAAAAAAGTATAATTAAAACCTCGAAACGTTGACAAAGGTGTAATCAAAACGCCGAAAGTACAAAAAAAGTTTAATTAAAAACTCGAAAGTGCAAAAACGTATAATTAAAACCTCGAAACCATGGCAAAGGTATAATCAAAATATCGTAAATACAAAAAACATAACTAAAACCTCGAAACGATGGCAAAGGAGTAATCAAAACCTCGAAAGTGCAAAGAAAAGTGTAATCGAAAACACGAAAATGCTAAAAAAAAGGGTACTCAAAACCTCGAAACCTTAAAAAAAATTGATTGGGTGTGTTTTTGTCTTGTCAAAAGTCAAAATATATTTGACGCAATGGAAAAAAAGAAAGTCGTCGACTTTACAGTACTTAGGATTGACTCACATAAAATATGTTGAATAACTTGCTAGTTGGGAGGCTGCTAATCCTTAGATCCTAACAAAAAACGAAATGAAACAATTCAGTACTCACCTTTTAGAAGATATCTTAGATTGACGAGTTTCATAATTGGTTCTTCTTGAAATTATTCGCCAGTACTATCAACGTCGTGACATCACCTGGGACGAACATTGATTAAAATAATTTATAATATTAAGTTATATTATTAAATTAAATTTACATCTTCTTGAAGAATACCGTGAAGAATGAATACCTGACTGATTTTGTAAATTTCATTTAATTTTTCTGAAGCTTCTTTAAATTTTGTATCATGGAGTCTTGGTTTGTTCATTTTATATTTACTTTCAGTATATTTTATAAGAAGTTTCCAAATTAACGATGACTTAATGATTAACTTTGTTAAAAAGTTTGTAACAGAAAACTCGAATTTTTAGTGATAACTGAACTTTTGATAAATTAAGTACATCGCTACAGGTCGTTAGTAGGGGCAAACTTTTCTGTAAACATCATTCTTCAAGGTATTCACAGAACCAAGAAAATCTTACTTAAACTTTACATAAGAACTTTGGAGACTGAACTTATAATTGGTTTGCTTAAGTTTACAATAAAAAAAATAAATCGCATAGGGTTTTCAAAAGTCCTAATGATGATGATCATAGACCGAAGAAAAACAATTGTAATATGTCCATACATGTATGTACCATTTAATTTAAAAATGAAGCGTATATAAAGATACAACTGCATCAATATTGAAAGAAGTGGATGAAACATGGTAGAGTAATTGTGTCGATGCTCTGGCCTAACATAGCGTGAAATCGGATCAGAATCGCCTGCCCGTGGGTTCCAACTTACGAGTGATGATTTCACGATATTGCGGCTTTAAATGATTAGGTGCTAAGCTGAACGTTGTAATGGCGCGCAAACAGGAAAACAAGCACCATCTCGAATTCCCTTTGGATAACAGTTTTCTTCTACACTTGTCATCTGTCTCTAGTTTTAGTTATACATGTTAAGCTCAATTCTATTCAAGCCCCCGGTTTTCTACTTTTTTTGCTTAAGGTTACAATAAAAACCCTAATGAATCTTATAGAATTTTTCTATAAGCTTTTTCGACTGATTTAATCAAGTTTACGACGATTAACATTTTATGACATAGGTAGGACTATATGAAATGTTGTCAAAGGTTGAAGTAACAGGAAAAGTAAAATAAGCCAGACATTGAACTTTGACTAGAAACAGACTTTGTACAATACGGACTTTTTAGACCTATTTTGCAGGTCTAATAAATCTAATTTAGGGTCTATATGGTACTCAATATTCTACCGCCAGCCCGCTCACACTACACACGCACGCTAATAAATACATTCATTTTCAATATACACATCTAGTTGAGAAGTCGATTATTCCTCCGTTACTCTTAATACATACAATCTACTTCTGACTAATCTAATTAAGGGTCTACGGGGTATATTTTACCATCAGCACCTCACACTAACCACTCGCGCCAATAAATACATTCACGCTTAATATAATCAAAACGATATAACTAAGATACCTAACAATAAACAGTCATCAGAAATTGAAACAGTGGATCCAAATACTCGCACAATTGTCGTATCGGTTGGCATTCCTACACGCTCTCTATATGGAGCCAAAGAAGGGCGTGTGCCACATTCGCATGGTCTAATCGTAATCGGGTCAAATTAACCCTTTTTAATTTCCAATTAGCCTTTTTCAATTTCAACTTAACCCTTTTCCTCTTCAAATTAATCATTTTTAAGTTCAATTTAACTTTTTCTTCGTCTAATTGACCCTTATTAATTTCAAAATAACCTTTTTTAATTTCAAATTAACGTTTTCCCTCGCCAAATTATCCATTTTCCTACGCAAATTAACCCTTTTTAGTTTCAAATTAAACCTTTTTATTTCAATTTAACCTTTTTCCCATTTGAAATGAACGCTATTTAATTTCAAAATAATCCTTTTTTTTTAGTTTCAAATTAACTATTTCCCTGGTCAAATTAACTCTTTGTAATTTCAATTTAACATCTTCTCCTTTCAAATTTACCCTTTTAGATTTCAATGTAATCCCTTCTCCTCGGCAAATTAACCAGGTTTAATTAAAAATTAACATTTTCCTTATAAAATCAACCCTAATTTCAATCTAACCCCATCATAATCATTAGTGCAAATCCCCATTTATAGCCCATTAAGAAAAGTATTCGCGTTTTTTAATTTAATTTTTTAAAAACTTGGCACGAAAAGTAAATAAGCTTGCACGAAAAAATCGCAAATTCCTACAGATTAAAATATAAAATAATTGGTGTCATAAAAACCATATGAAAATTAGCTACAATTAAAATTAAAAATTATATAATTTAAATAAAAAACAAATGATTCTTCTATTAATTCGAGATTAATAAAATATTAAATAATTACTTTATGTATAAATTGTTCAGTATCTCGAACTAATAGAAATTTGTTTATATTTTAATTTTATATAAGTTTTAATTGTAATTAATTTTCTAGTATTTTAGATATAAACCCATTTTATATTAACATGCTAATTTTTCCTTCCATCTCATAAGTTTTGTAATTCTTTAAAAAAACGGTTAATTTAAAATTAAAAACGATGAATATGAGGAGGAAAAGGGTTAATTTAAAATTAAAAAGGGTTAATTTGACGAAAAAAGATATAATAAAGGGTTCATGCGATACTCAGTATTCCGTCATCGGCCCTGTCACACTATAAATTCATACTAATAAATACATTCACTTTTAATAAACAAAAGAAATATCTATTAAATATTGTACCCAATAAAACAGCCGTCCAAAAATTCGCTCGGTTTAATGATTACACTGCTTTGGCAATTGGTTGGTAACTTGTATTATTGAGCTATAGGTTTTTTTTTGTTTTTTGTTTTTAATGAACTCGGAAATTGCAATGCGCTCATTAAAATGTTTCAACATTCAACCGCACGATTCTGCGGCTTGCTGTACTTTCAATCGAAGTCCAGCCAGTAACCCAAACGGCCCCCTTGGGTGTACATGTCGGGTGGGTTCATCCATCTTCAAATACACCTTTTGTCTTTACTGGCAGAAAATGATCGTCAAAACTCTGAAAGGCTGCATTCTCGAACTAATTATTAGTAAATTAAGACAAAGGTCCGTTTGGAATGAGATTCGATAACAATGCAGATGGTGTCTATTGTGGTCCTCTCATGGCCATGGACATCAATGGGTAGTTTATTCGAACTTAACGAATGTAATAGAACTTAGCGCAATGCTTTCTTCACGGTACATGTTTATTTGTACTACTGAGGATTAAATTTTTAGAAAATGCAAATTTTTTGTTTATTTCGATTTCTGATTTTTCTTAGAGTTCATAGAGGTTTTATTTCTTTTTCCTCTGTCTCACTTTATTTCACTCAAGAGGTTTATGCGGATAAATTGTATTCACTTAGGGTGACAACTTTGATGTCCGACCATGACGATCCAACTACAGTCGAGCCTTAGTGACAAATCAATTTTCCGGAAGGTTTCTGCTCTGGCGGCGCTCGATGCTATTATGTTTATCATCTGGAATTCATAAAGTGAAAGCCGGTCTCTTCTGGGTTCTGACGTTAATTTTGACAAGACGTTAAAACTCTTCAAGTGGCGGTGATTTCCGACACGCCTCGGCAATTCTGGGACACGTAAACGTCTGAGTTACCAAGGTTTATAAACAAAAGAGCCAAAGCTAAATTTGAAAGTATCGAGGGACTACTATCAACTAAGGATTACTAAGTACATCCAAATGTTGTTTTTTTCACTGGAAAAAACGGGGGAAATGGTAATAATACAACGTTGACAGTTAATTTTAAGTTAAAAATGCGTTAATTTGACCCGATTAAGGACAGTCCATGCGCGGTTGACGTACAAACGCTTAATTTTGGGCAAAAGCCCGTGTATGTTCTGGATATACGTATATGTTGCTTGAACCCAACCATTGCTTGGCGCCATATGTAGAAAGTTGGGATTGCTGAGGATATGAGAATTGTGGGAGTATTTGGGTCTGCTTTTCCGATTTTTTGAAGGTAGTTTTATTGCATATAGCACATATATTAAATATCTCGTTTTGAATATATTGACGGCAAATGTATTTATTAGCGTGAGTGTGTAAAAAAATATCGAGCAAAACACTACCGTAGTTAAGTATAATAATACTAATAGACATATTCATTTGTGTTCCAATTTTCTAAATGTATATTGAATGTATTTAGTTGCGTGACTGTCCCATCATTCCTCAAGTAGATTAGTTAGATATAGGTAGTAAGTATAAAGGGTAATGGAGGGATATTGAGTATTCCACCAAGTGTGTTTTCTGTCCCCCCGTTTCTATATTAAAAAGTGAATGTATTTATTAGCGTGAAAGTTTCACCGTTCTTCAATTAAATTATTTATAAAGACTACTCCTCCGTCCTACTTGAGTATAACTGTACTGGTAGATATCTCGTTGTGTGTTCCCTTGTGTATATATTCAACGTGAATTTATTTATTAGCGTGAAAGTTCCACCGTTCTTCAATTAAATTATTTGTACAATCTGTGTAAAGGGTATTGGCGGAATAAAGACTACTCCTCCGTCCTACTTGAGAATAACTGTACTGGTAGATATCTCGTTGTGTGTTCCCTTGTGTGAATATTCAACGTGAATTTATTTATTAGCGTGAAAGTTCCACCGTTCTTCAATTAAATTATTTGTACAATCTGTGTAAAGGGTATTGTAGGAACATGGAGTACTCCTCCGCCTTACTTGAGTATAACTATACTGATCTCGTTGTGTGTTCTCTTGTGTGTATATTAATAGTGAATGTATTTATTAGCGGAAAGTTCTTCCATTCTTCAATTAAATTTTATACTATCTGTATAAAGGGTATTGGAGGAACATGGAGTACTCCTCCGCCTTACTTGAGTATAACTATACTGATCTCGTTGTGTGTTCTCTTGTGTGTATATTAATAGTGAATGTATTTATTAGCGGAAAGTTCTTCCGTTCTTCAATTAAATTTTATACTATCTGTATAAAGGGTATTGGAGGAACATAGAGTACTCCTCCGCCTTACTTGAGTATAACTCGTTGTGTGTTCTTTTGTGTGTATATTAAGAGTGAATGTATTT